ATGAGTAAATAACTTGTTTCACTTTCAAATAGATTCTCCTTATGGAAATAAACCTGACGCCCAAAATAATCTAAAAAACTTCTTTGCTGTCCAGCAACAACAAAAAGTTTACAGTAAATATACACCACACACAACCACACACGTACCAGTATAGATACTCACCATCTGCACACTCACTTATCTCTTCATGACTCTGCAACACAAAAAATGAAACATCTGTCATTTTTAATGTGAACAGGCATTTTTTGCAGGTTTTTAAAGGTACAAGAAAAACGATGAGATTGAGGCAAATTTTGCAGGTTAGTGTGATACTAACTTCTATTTATACTGATGGTTCTGTTTCTGTGATATAACCTACCAGAGGTCTTGGGTTAATCCTGTTGAGGTTGCCAATGGCATCCTCCAGTTCTTGGCACGTGACACCACACAGAAGGTTGCTGATGGTCCGAGCACGGCTCACAATAACACCAATATTCACCCCAGACTGCAGACCATAATAAGACGAGACACAAATGAGGAGAAATATTGGACAACCATGTATTGAGAAAGAAAATCCACTAGCTGCTTTTATTTATTTATTTATTTTACTGACCTTATTACTGAAGAGCTCTTTTGCCTCTCTACAGTAGGTGTTGAGCACACTCTGAAGACTCAGCCTGAGAGGGGAGGAAAAAGTGTAAACAAAGTGGTAGTAAAACCAGCTCTCTTCATGTTTTCTGCAAACAGACACCATCTGACTGTCTCGCCATCAAATAGCTGTCATTGTTAATGAAACTACTCCTCAAAGCCGGTGGTATGCAGTGCTGCTGGTTGTCTTACTTGCTGGTGTTGAAGACGAAAGCAGAAGCAAGGAACCGGAACAGCTGGCATGCAGTGTTGTCATCCACAGCCTTAAAGGGGGTGACATAGATCGGAATGTTGGATTTTTATGGTTATGGTGTCGCTCATATGTGGACAACTTCCATAAATAATATCCAATATGTAGCTTATATAAAACATTTAACTAATTACACGACAGTGAACATGCATATTTTGTCTTTTATGCATTTAAATCTAAGCGCACATCGGGTTCACCTTTATTCTGTTTACGTCTTCACGCTAAATGCCACCAGTCATGGCGTCATGTTTACACAGAGCAAAGTCAAGAGCTCAGGGTGGAGATTTTTACAGCTACAATAGTTCTCACGATAACAAACCGGCCAGGGAACGGGAAGAGTTGTACATTGTTTCAAGACTTGGGACGAAGCGAAAGGATCCTTTCTGTAAGAGGAAATGGAAAAGGACCTTGAGCCACTCACATCTCTGGCCAGTCCACGTTTGATGCTGTTGATGTTTACCAGTCGGACGGGGACTTCTAGATTAAGCTTGTAGTAGATCTGAATTGTCTCGTGCATGCCGAGCAGCTCTTCACTAAAGGCAGAGACGAAAGAGCGAATGGGGCGCATTACACCACATTAAACGATGCAGGTTTAAGAGGACGTCATGAGCTTTTGCAGTAAAATCTAGCAATAAACTTACTTCTGGAGAACCTCCTCGGAGTCGCACAGTTTTAATACGCAATGCTCAGATTGGTCGGGAGGGATGTCTAGAAGCTGGGAGATGTCCTCGATCAGACTCTTCACTGTCCTGTTCACTGGATAAAAGATTGGACTTCAGAGACACCACACATGCCAACATATGAAGAAACTTATGAAGCATTTATAGATATTACCTACAAATGACCCTGTTCAGCACAGTTTCCTGGGTTGCGAGGTTGGGTAATAGCTGCTTACTTGACTGCTGATAAGTCTGTTAACACTTTATGCCAATTTTACCACTTATTTATTTTTTTAAGTTAGAAATATCAATAATGCATAATTTCTAAAACAGACTACGAGTAACAAGCAACATTTTATGATCATTTTTCCTGTTTTAAATTCGTTTAACTGCCACAGAAACCAAAAGACGGAGGAAGAAACAAATGTTGTTAAGTTGTCTGCAGATACTTAAGGACAGACAAAAAGCAAGAAAATTGATTTGTGGTTAAACTTTGCAACAGAAAATATTACATTTGTGTTAGACCTCATTTTCAGTAAAGACCTCAGAAAGATGCTTAGCCCACGTTTTTGCCCAAATACCATGTGTGATGGCTGCACTGTCATCTCAGAGTCAGTGCATGATGACAGAAGAAGCTTTGCAGTGAATTCAGTGATGGGTTTTAAACATTTGAATGTACAAATTGCACTATTGTAGCCACTTTTAAAGGATTTCTCTCCCTCCAGTATTTTGTGACACTGGATGGGAGCTGCTGCTAGCTAACAGAAGCAAGTGAACTGGTATATATACAAATGTTACCTGAGGTGGGAATGGGGATCTGGTTTTGGTCCCACACCACATTGATAGTCACCTCGACCTGCTGCAGCAGAGCACGGTTGATGTCCAGCAGTCGACCGCATACCAAACCGGAGTTGTAAAGACTTTCTGTGTGCTTGTATTTTGACATTAAGCTGCCAGAGACAGTGAAGAAAAACAGGTTGCAAAATTCCAAATGAAAGTATGATTGCGATTAGAAACCAACTGGAACTACAGAGGAGCCGTCCAGTAGCAAAACAATTGACAGTAAATACACAGCATATAAGATTTAAAGTCCAGTGACTAATTTTGTTTGCCTGATTTCTGTCATAGTAAAGGAGAATATTGTAAACAAAAGCATTTTATAGTCATTTCATTTCCACACAAGTTGTTTTTATGGTCATTTTCATACCTGGCAGTTGCAGCAGAAAACGAAACCATTGTCTTGGTGCTGCCCTCCGGAGTGTCTATGAGTGTGATGGCCCATATATCCTGATGAGGAAAAGAATACAAGAGACACTCTTCAGTCTTTTCTCTGTATTTTGGGTTTCGATCTTGAACATTAAGGAGCTTTTTGTCTACAATGAGTATTGGAGATGCTCACTTGGTTGCATACGGTTGTGGAGCGAGTCAGTCTTTGAAGAGGCTCGCTGAAATCACAAGAAACCTGCTTATTGAGTCCCGGCCTGGGAGGAGGAGGAGGAGGAGGAAGTCGAAGGACCTTTTCTCCTCTCAAACATTCACTGGGAAGCCTACATCTTTGTAGATTAGGAGATCTTGGGGGTACTGGGGGGCGACCAATGGTGCTCTGCTGGTTGGTATTTCCAGGACCTCCGATCTCAAAATTCCAGATATCATTTCCAGGTTTAGGCTGGGTTAAAGTGGGGGATTCTGGGATGTCGTACAAATTAGGCCCATCATTTTGTGATAGGTCATCAATGCTCTCATACAGGTGTATTGCTTCTAGATCGTCCCTCAAAGGCATGGGGAGATCGGTGTCGCTCGCATCTTCTCTGTGGAGTGTTTCAGCTGAGCTTTCCATTGCATTTTATTCATGTAAACAAGTTTTTCTGGATGCTGGTGTTTCACACTCCGCACGGCCTTCATTCACAGCATGGCAGAACAGAAAAAACCTATGTGGTGGTATTATTAATAATGACAAGTTAGGATACTTGATGACTTACATTAGAAAATGCGAATTGTTGAAGGTAGGGCGGGTTTTATGAGCAAAGTCTAACTGAATCTGAAGGTTCAGGCTGGTGTAATTATTAACAAGCTTTCAAATCTTAACAGGAAATCCAACAGAGCACACCAATAAGCCCACAACAATGCCTTGTTATATATCAGTGACACCACAAATAACACATTATGACTTAAATTCTATTTTTAGACAGTATAAAGCTGAACAGCAGGGATTTTTGAATTTAAATCAAACTCAAATCTAGCCTGGTACTTTTTCATATCACGTAGTGTTTTCCCTTCATGTCACAGAAGGTCCTCTATAGTAAAATGTTAAGACTAGCTGTGAATAACAAGATTTATCTTTTGCAAATTCACGGGTATATTTTTGTGAGCTTACCGTAAAAGCTCTGATGTCCGGCGCGTATCCTGTTCAAGGTGAAAGCTTGAATGAAGCCAAGCCCAGCCAGTTAGACCTGTAAGAAATCTGGAAAGGTTTGCTAGCTCCTCCCACTGTTCCTCCTCTTCCCTCTCCCGCGTCACAAAGTTGCCCTCTGCTGGACAAAACTGTGTATTACATATGCGTGCGTGTGCTGTTGTTGTACAGGTGAACTAGTTCCAGTTAGTTCTTAGTCTTACATTAAAATTTGAAAACACAAAACAATCTTGACTTTTCATTGTATGTTTCAAATGCTGATTAGATTTAATTTGCGTGTGTGTTTTTCACGAGTTAACCAATGAAAAACCATATGTGACATTAATTTTCAAAGCAGCATCACTTCTGACTTTACTGTATGTGTGTCAAAATGTTTTAAACGTGATCATAAACATGGATAAACACGTCTGTCCAGTTCAACTAACATACTGGAATACACTGAATACACTCCTCATGGAGGAATGCTATTGAGCAAGTTGAGATACGCGATCACTGTGTTTCAGTGGGTCACAAAGACTTGAAAGGAGCGAGAACGACATGCATGTTCAGGTAGTCCCCAGGTAGCACATAAGGTAAGAATACATTTAAGAAAGAAAAACGCACATATGTTAAAATGCGTCGCTGTAGTATCCTTTAATCAGCCGCCTTTTCAGTTCAGTTTGAGGCACGTAAATATTTACTGTACTGTACATACAGATTTGCTGGATCTTACATGCCACGGCGACATTTGTTTTTGCGTCTTTCTGTGGGAATGAAAGCAGAGGCACGGCACTGAATGTGTCACACAGGTGCGCAGCACAGACGGCTGCTATAAAAGGGACGATGGGGCAGGAAGAAATGCATCCGAACCACACAACTCCCCATATTTCACCAGTACCCAGCAAACCTGTATTTCCTGGTTACTATTCACTCATCCCTTTGGTTGTGCTCATACTGATTGGATGTATAGTGGCAGTGGTAAAAATGTTTATTTACTTCTGCACAATTCACTTTCAAAATGATGTCTTACACATCTATTATAATTGCACTTCTGTTTGGCTTGTGCTTCTCTTTAGGTTGTTTATATCAGAAGAAAAATGAGGTAACTCCTGAAGTTGAAGCATCATCTTGAGCTCGGTTTGGGCTCTTTTATGTTCAGGTTTCTCTTTCTCTTTTTTTCAGATTGGATGATTTGCGGCATAGGTTGATTCCTTTGTACAGCTACGACCCTGCAGAGGAACAGGAAGACTGGGGTGATGCTGGCAGGGAGGATGAGGATGCGGAGCTCAATGTAGGCTCATTCTTCTAGTAGATTCAGATGAGTTAGAACGAGACTTTATATGTTTGTTTTGATTTTCATTTATGTACTGTCACCATTAAGAATCTTTGAGTTCAGTATTAAAGCTTCTGTTTACAATTGGCAGCCAACCAAAAGAAAGTTGACAAAGTATGGGACAAAAGAGCTCAAGTAGATTGAGTCCAATAAACTCGACTGGTTGTTATGTAGCACTTATCTGCTCTACTTGAGGACTCAAACCACTTTATACTACAAACCTCATTTATTAAAACAGCATTTTTTTCTATGCGGATGTGCTTTCTAATATTCACACTCTAATAAACGCATCAGAAGGAACTTAAGGATCTTTCTTAAGGAGTTTTTTAAGGACAATGGAACACCCAGTGATTTGAACCACAAACCTACACACTGGTAGACAACCCACACTATCTCCAGAACCACAGGCACCCTAAACTGGGTGGAAATAGATAGCCACAGAATGAAAGGGACACCATTAATACAAATACAATATTTCCATCTATCTAAGTACTTATGATGGCATGTTGGAGATTTAGAAACATGCCCAAGCGCTCCTTGGCATGCAGGGATTGAACCACCAACCTCCTGATTAGTAGATAACATTCACTACAAATACAGGGCCTTTTAAAACTACACCTGTCCATGTTAATTGGTAAATTTCTATAATCAGTCACATACAACAGCTCTTGTATCATTTGTTACCATGTTAGCATCTTGCTAACAATTTGAACTGTAAGTTATTCTTCAGCTGTACTTTTTCTGCAGCTAGCGGCGTCTGTCATTTATTGTCTACTGATTTGCTTTGACTGGTTAATACTTCTATTTGAATCTGTTTGAACTGTGCATGTGCTCCCTTTCTCATTCTCGGGCTAACTATTTCTGCCCATTACTTTTGTGTGGGCTGTGATCCATGAGGTAGCATGGGTTGTCTACCAGTTCCAAGGTTGGTGGGTTAAATCCCTAGCTGCTCCAGTATCTTCCAAAGAATCCATGGGAAAGATACTGAACTGCAAAGTCCTCCTGATGTACTCATTTGAGTGTGAACATTAGATAGAAAATGCGTAAGCGTAGGGGAACAATTACTATTGTGGATGAGGCTTATAGTATAAAGTTCTTTAAGTGTTTAAGCAGAGTAGAAAAGTGCTATATAAGAACCAACTAAATTTGATTCGTACTTTAAAATGTCACCTTCAGTACCCCTGTGTATGATTCACTGAAGTACATCACCAGTCACATAAGTTTTAACACTTCGATTACATATTTTCAACTTCACATTCGTACCCTCATTTCCTGTCATACACGTGGGTGGCAGTGACCATTTCAGCTTATGTAGAATTTGATTTTCTTCACAGGAACCTTTGTACAAGAAGGCACAGCTCACCATTTCCTCTGGCTACGCAACATGATCACAAATTTCAGAAGAAACTCATTTAGGCAAAAAAATCTTTATTTTCTGTACATGCTGCACAGCAGCAGCTTGTTGCCTGGATTCAAAGTGTATATAGAGGTTGTGGTTGAAACGTGACTTAAAGCAAACACCAGATGGCAATGTAACACTGCCTTTTTTCTTTCTTTTTACCTCAGCTGAAATTATTTTTTTAATAGGCTGCACAGAGTTTTATTTTAAAGGACAAAGCAAATGTTCTTCCTTTGCAATTAACTGGAAGTTTTAAGTTTGAAAGGTGTTTGTGTGAATTCGTGTGTTTCTTCTTTCACATGTGTGCGCAATGACATTAAAGACACACCTGTTTCTGATTAGCAATCAGAAGCTGGCGTTTTAAGGTTGCTTGAGTGGACACGTTCTCACGTTTGGTGGGATTTTACAGAAAAAGATGGGATCGCAAAGAAAGACCAGGTGAACGGCACATGCATGCAAATAACTAAGAACCATAAATGCTTTTAATTGAAATATTATTTCAGTATGTATTGTTTTGGTGTGAATTCACATTAGTCTGGGTATCCATCTGTTTAGTCCATGCTGCTTCTTGATCTCCATCCTGCTGGTCTCAGCTGCGATCCTCCCAGCACTGGCTCTAGATAGCCTGCTGTGCTACTACTGTCCTCTGCAGCAGAAAAGCAAGCCCTGCCCCCAAACCACCAGCCAGTGTATGCCCGACCAGCGCTGCGCCATCTCCACAGGCAACTATGGCTTCTTCCACATCTTGTCTTCTCAGGGCTGTGTGGACAGTAAACTCTGTGGCTCCCATAAAGTCATCTCTTACCAGGGAGTCAAATACAATGTCAGCTACACATGCTGCTGTAAAAATCAGTGTAACATCCTGCCCAAATCTGACAGCAATCTGAAGAAGCTACTGGATTTGATTGCATTAAAGGTTGATCATGTCGGGAACACAGATGGTCGTAAGGAAGAGCCTTTGGATTCATGTCCAAATAACACAAGAACAACAATACCTGTCACTGATGCATAGGTACCTGTATTGTTGAAGACTGGGGAGAGTCCTGTTAGCCACTGGCACTTAAATCTTCAGAAGATGAAAGGCATTCAGTCAAATGTCTAAATCTCAGTCATAACTTTAAAAAAAAAAAAGTTTGTATAATTTAAAAAAAAATGTATGATGTATTGTGTGACTTGTATTTATGCGCCAGAGAGATGGACTTGTCAACCATCTTTCTGTAATCCCTATTTCCATATACATGTGTTTAAAAAAAAATAAAATAAATAAAAGCGCTGGCATGATCAAGCTTCTGTTGGTGTATCTGCTCTGTGTGAATTTAACAAGCGGGTATAATCGAAGGTGTGGCCTGTACAGCTGGAGTCAGTGATGAGATTGGCGTTCAGCAGGAGAAGCTCTGAAATGTTTTGGCTGGACTTAAAATCTCTTAAATGAGGTGAGACTGTGCGAAGAAGTCTGGTGAGGAACTTTGTCGCATGGAGTCACACAAACCACCTGCAACTCAACACCTCAAAGACTAAGGAACTGGTTGTGGACTTCGGGAGGTCCAGAGAAGGTCCACTGCCGGTTCAGATAGAGGGGGAGGAGGTGGAGGTGGTCAACAAGTACAAGTACCTCGGGCTGTGGGTGGACAATAAACTGGACTGGTCATGCAACACAGAGCACCTGTATAAAAAAGCCCAAAGCTGACTGTACTTCCTCAGGAGGCTGAGGTCTTTTAACATCTGCAGGAAGCGCCTGAGGATGTTTTACCAGTCGGTGGTTGCTGGAGTACCACTATGCTGTGGTGTGCTGGGGGAGCAGCACAGCAAAGAAGGACTCATCCAGGCTGGAGAAACTGATCAGGAAGGCTGGCTCTGTGGTCGGCATGAAGCTGGACACTCTGGTGACAGTGGCAGAGAAAAGGACATTAAAGAAACTGATGGACATTATGAACAATGCTGGGCATCCTCTGCACACGGCCATTAACAACCAGAAGAGTCTGTTCAGTGACAGGTTGCTTCTCCCCAAGACAAGAACTAACAGACTTAAAAACTCCTTTGTCCCACATGCCATCAGACTGTTTACCTCCTCTCTGGAGGGGAGAGGGAGGGGAGGCAGGAGGACAAAGGAGGGGGGAACAACTAAGCTGTAGTGCCTCTTCACCTCACTGTGCAATACCTTTTGTGCAATACTTTTGTTAATAGTCAATGGTGCAATAGACTCAATACTTGAAATGTGCAATTCACTTGTATTTTTATTTTTTATTCCTATTTATTCTATTTATCCCCTTCGTATATTTTTTATATATGTCTCTGTATTTATATGTGTGTGTGTGTGTGTGTGTGTGTGTGTGTGTATATGTTACTCTGTAACTTCTGTCGGTGCTGTGCTTTTGGAAAGCGAATTTCCCAGAGGAACCCACCCGAGGGATTAATAATGTTTTATCTTATCTTATGCTTCACACTAAAATTGTTCCTGCATTTTATCGTCAATGCTGGAAGTAGTCTGAATGTGATTATCAGAGGAAATCCTTCACACCAATACAAGAAATGGTGAAATTTCATACTTCCTGCACAGCTGTACAAGTTGACCGGTTTTAAAGATGATAGCTGTGAAGATGTTGTTCATCTGTTTAATATAATGGATTTAAATGGCACTCACTTTGTTTCATGAATGAAAATAATAGCACAGAAAAATTCAGCAGCAACGTTTCTTTCCAGTAATTACGACCCATTATGACATTTTATCTGTGAGCTATTTAACGTGGTAAATATAGCATCTAAACTCAGCCTTTACCAAACAATAGAAACTTGCAGCTAACTAACATGTAAATTCGGCTAAGGGGCCAGTGACTTATGAATCCTGTCACTTTCACTTTTCAGCCTCTTACCAGGTGCTTCACTCTGCACAGCATTACAGTTTGTTGGGAAAAAATGGCTTCTATGAAACTGTGGAAAGATGTTGGTACTGAGGTTTTCAATTTGTTTTTCTTGGTTTTTCGGTTGGTTTTTGTTTTTGTTTTTTTTAGCACTTTGAGTATCAGAGTATCCGTTTTTCATCAGTCCACTTATTTACTGCAGGTGGTGCTGGAGCTCATCCCAGGCGGGTGGGGGGCGTACACCCTGAACAGGCCACCAGTCTGTTGCAGGGTTAACACAGAGAGACGGATAACCACACATTCTCACATTCACACACCTGCAGCCAATTTGCAGTCACCTGTTAACCTAATGAGCTTGTCCTTGAGCTGTGTGAGGAAGCTAGAGTGCCTGGAGAAAGTTCACTGTGTTGACCAGAGTCTCTCTGGAGACAAGTGTCGTTTAGTCCAGTTATATTTGGGGGAAGGAGACATTTCTGCAGCTGAGAGACTTCCACTAACTGGTTGGTTTGCATAAAATAAATCTAATTTTTGAATGGCTTTGCAACCCAGACAGAAAAATGCAGTTGATTTATTGATTTAGTGAAATAACTATTTAAAATCTCTTTTTACCAGTGGCCTTTCGGTGTAAATTGCAAAAACTAAACCACTGTGGCACTAAGTATGTGTTTTACCCAAAGTTTAACAGATGCTTCTCTTTTCTTTGCAGCCTGAGCATGTTGAAGCTCCTGCATATCACTGGTTTGTGGCTTCACTTCCTCCTTCCCTCTGTGCTCTGTGACAACTTGCTTTGCTTCTACAGCCCCATGCTGGAGAAAGACAAGACACCCGAATTTGTTGTGACAGAGTGCCCTCCCAGTAAGGTGTGCTTTATGGCAGATGGCCGCTACGGTAACCACAGCGTCCTGTCAGCCAGGGGTTGCATGGCAAAAAAAGACTGCAGCCAGAAGCAAAAAGTCCACTTCAAGGGGACAACCTACACCGTGAGCTACAGCTGCTGTGATCAGCCGCACTGTAACTCGTGCCTGAACATCGCACTGGAACCCCTCTGTCTCACTTTAGCACTTGTAACAGTGTGGGTGATGGTCGGTGATGGTTTGTGAATACAGACATTTTGATGAACATGCTCAGAGGACTTGCTGCAGCCTGAGCCTGGAGTAAGGCTGAAGGTCTGCAGTGATGTGGTGAACACCCAGTCTGAAGACACTGAGGTGTGCACTCCGGTGAAAGAGAGACTTTTATCATAAATGTCTTATTAAATTTGGCTACATATCCAAGACGTACACCACCTCTTGTCCATCATCATCAGCCAGGTTCCAGCCCACTACAACGGTTGGATCAATGGCTTATTTTCTTTAAACAGGTGCTTTGTTTTTAATAGGTCTCTGAATAAATAAATAGTTGAATAAATTATCAAATTTGATGCCTTTTGAATGTTTTCCCACACTCTTCTGTCACATACAAAGTCACACAGATATAGGGCAAGGATGGTTATGTTCTGTATTTTTCTTATTGTCATAATTTTACAGAAAATCAAAACAATTAACTGATTCCTGCTCTCACGCGTCAGTTTCCAGGGATTTCTTTATCCCATTGAGTTCTATCACTGAATTAAGTAAACATTTAGGAGCCGCTCACTGGCTTACATCTTTCTTTACTACTGATATGTACACAATAGATAATTTAGATTCAGCCATACATGGCTTCAAATCTTTGTTGGGATCTGAGAGTGAGAGACACAAATGGGCAAAGGAGAGAAAGTCTAAAGCAAATAAAGTCCAGGCTTATTTTGCAGGAATGAAAGAGAGCAGCTGAAGCAATGTGTACAGTATGAGGTTTGGACAGTTCTTTATTTCCCTTTTATAAGGCTGCTGGGTCTCCCCATAGTGGATATACATATATATACAGGAGATTGCTATACTGAAGTTACACTGAGGGCAGAGGGTCCATATTACACAGACTTCAAAAAACAACACTAATAGAGCCTCACCTCCAGGTATCAGAAATCAGCAGAGAGAGGATGGGGTGGGGGGGGAAACAGCACAAGAGAAGAGGGAAGTGAAGGGAGAGGGGAGATGATGCAGTCCGAGAGCCTGACTCGACTGCCTAATAACTTAACACTAGAAAAAACATACAGATTTCACGCACAGTGCATCTTAAATAGGTCACGTGAAGAACCATTTACCATAAATATCTGTATTTTTCGGGAACCAACATATATAAAAAAAAATGATTAAAAAAAACAAAAACAATTGCTGTTCAGTCTTTATTTTTCTTTTTTCTCTCTCCATATTTTCTCCTTTCCGTCGTCTGCAAATCGTTCTTTTGCTTCTTCTTCGTGTGGAGCCGGGGCTTTTCTCGCCCCGCCCCGATGTGGATAAACGAGGAAAAGGAAACAGAACCCAGCACAAACCGACCCTCCCCACCCCGCCCCCTTAAAAGCATATGAATTAGTATAAAACGAACGAACAAATGAACAGAACACCACAGTCAACTCATCACAAAAAAGAACCCACAGACACACAGAACAGCAAGAACACAGTACTTTTTTTTTTCCTTTTTCTTTTCCTTTTTTCTTTTTTTTCTTTTCTTCTTAGGGCTTGATCACCATCACTCCTCCTAATGGTCAGCATCATCATTGCAGTCGTTCTTTCCGGGTGTACTTGTTGGCAGCGGTGGAGCGGTCCTCCCACCCGGTGGCTCAGTGGAACTGGGAGGCTGCTCTCCAATCGGCTGGTCAGTTCAGCAGTGATATATTATCTCTCAATTTCACAGTGTGGCAGGAAAAGAAGGGAGAAGGTGAAGAAGGGGTAGAGGGAGGGGGCTGGGACCCAGAGGGAAGGGTAGAGCAGGTGGGAATGGGAATCGGAGGAACCACAGCAACAATTACAAAACAACTAGAAATCCCGACCATCCCATGGGAACAAGTAAACAAAACAGCCTCTTCACTCCTTCCTTCTGAGTTTCAATCCAGCCGACCCATGGGTTTGGGAAGGCCTTGATTGGCTGGAGCGTAAACTGATTGGATGTTCCGTGTTTGTGGCAGAGGGGTCGGTAAAGATGGGCGAGGGAACTCTAAGGCTGACTGGAATCCACTGGATGGGTCTCAACAGGATGAGAATAAGGATGGTGTGTGGCAGGTCGATGTGTGGTTGGCACGTCAGAGGATGAAATCCCTACTCGCTGGGTTCAAGCACGGCGCTGCAGTGCCCGCCTCTTGCGGCTGTAGTAGTGACGCATGCCGGTCTGTCTGGCAAAGTTCATCATGTAGTTCTGTTTACGTGTGCTGCAGGGATACAAAGACAGTAAAAAAAAAAAAAAACAGAGGGAGGGAAAGAGGAGGGGGTGTGAACGTTAGCGACAGAGTAAAGAGATGCTGCAAAAATCACACATTCCCATGCACGCACTTGAAACCATGCACTCACACGCACAAATGGCCGAATGCAGCTTCCGCACTCTCTCACATCCAGAGTCATGCTGGCTATTTTTTTTTTAAGTCACGTTTCAACCACAACCTCAAACACTCAATGCTTGCATGGATCCCACAGCTCAGAGAATGGGTGGCGCTACTCGATTTCATTACACTCTGCACAAATGAGAGGCAGCTAGATGGTGAATATGGCACTACAATTAGCTACATGTATCCATCGACTAGACCAAATGTAACATGACAAGACAGAAGACACAGGAGTCTACAGACACACTAAAACATACTAGGGAGAAACTCTGACACTGAGTGTTTGAGGTCAGAGGAAACAAAATAATAAGAATTTTAAAAAATAATGTAAAAAAAGCCATAAAGTGCAGGGTGGTGAGTGGGAACGGGTGGTTTTAAATCTAAGTAACAGAGAAAAGCTGCAGTAGATCATTCTTGCTTAGCCTGTTCATTGCCTCTTCCATCCAGCAGGGCGGTGCCAGTGAGCCAGGAGTGCAGCCAGGGCAGGCAGGGGGGGCCTCTGCGAAGCAGGGGGGAAGGGAGGGGGGCAGGAAGGATAGGGCGAGGTAGGTAGATGGTGCCAGTGGGTGTGATGGTTGATGCTGTACAGGCGAATGGTAGCGATGTGTGTGTTTGAGAGCACGTGTGCATGCTGGTGTGTTTCTGACTTGTGGTCAGAAACCAGAAAGAAGTGAGGAGGAAGCTCCTGGCTCAGAGTTACATGTCGTCGTCCTCGGACAGACGGACAGAAAACCATGAGTGGAAAAAAAAAAGGATGGAGGGCTATCGCGACAGTCGATCCGTTAAAGCCATGCAAGGACGGAGGAGTCTAATGAAACTCTGGTCAACTGTGAGTTCATTTGAGGATAAGGATGTGAGATGCCCTGCACTGCGACTGATGCTGATGTATGAATGGAAGAAAAGATACATCGTCATTCACTGCTGAGGCTTGTGTGATAATAAATAAACTACAGCAAACAGTAATCTTTTTCAGGTCTGCTTGTGAATCAGCAGCCGTGTCAAAAAACACTACAGCAGCCTGTAGTTGAGGTGGCAGCAAGAACAAAACAGACAGATACAAGTATAGTGATGGATTACATCACACATATACACACAAACACACTACCATTGACATCTGTGCATGTAAATTGTTACATTTAAATGCCGCAGTGATTGCATATTCAAATCATAGCCGCTTTATTTGGAACCTTTGTGACCTTGTGTCGAACCATTTATAAAAAAAAAAAAAAATGCATGTCAGCAGAAAATTTACCAGCACTGTTCAGGATTTGTTTATCCCTCCATCCACTGAATTTTCATGGATATTGGTGTACTTCCTGTGTTAAGAGCTGTCTTTTAAAAACTGTGTGTTGGATCATTTTATCAGTGAGCCTCCAGCTGAACACTGTGAGCAGCTGACCTGCCCTTTGACCTGCCTGTAGGGGCTTACGTGTTGGAGAAGGCATGGAGATGACCATGGTGGTGATGGTGAGGGCTGCGGTGTGTATGTGAAATCAAGGGTGTCTGCGGTGTAATAGGGAGAACAAAAGGAGCTGGGAGGAGGATGAGGGAGGGGGCTGCATTCAGGAAGAGGCGGAGAACTTACCTGACACTACAGCCATGCCAGAGGGAGCAGAATACAGAAGAGAGCAGAGGTTAGAGCGCGAGAGGGGAGAGGCAGTAGGAAGGGACTGCTGTCTCGTAGAAAGGTCTGGGAGGGTATGAGCCCCAGCCTGGGGAGGCGAGGGGCCCAAAGTGGGGAGAAGGGAGGAAGAGAGGAAGGCAGAAAGATAGTCAGAGGTTCAAGGAAGAAACAAGAAAGTGTGGGAAAGACAGAGAGAGTGAGGAAGGAAACAAAAAACATGAAAGAAAATGGAGAACAAAAGAGTAGGCAGAACAAGCGAGGAAACAGTAGAAAGATGTAAGATGGAGATATAACCAAAGGCAGAGGTAAAGAAAGAGAGCAAGATACACAGCAGTAATCCATCCATTGTATGCCAAAAATGTAAGACAAACGGGGAAAGAAAGGGGAAATACGGGAAGAAAGGAAAAGAGGAGGAGGAAGATGCGGAAGTACGGTAGGAATATAAATGTGGCACAAGCAAAAGGAGCGAGCATGACCGCATGATCGAAGGTATCGGGGACGTGAGGGGAGCAAGGAGGCAGGGAGGAAAAGCGTGTGAAGCAAAAGAAAAAATTTGAGCAGGAGGATTGAGAGGAGAATGTGCGAAGGAGTGGTGAACAGAGAGAAATAAACAACAGAGCAAAATGTGAGGATCGCGGTCACTCCTTTCAGCAGACACTGTTGAAACCAAGCGAGTGCAAAGGAGGGAGTGGGACAGGTCGCGGCCATGTAGACCAGGGACAGCTCAGGTTAGGCATAAATGTGTGTGTCTGTATGAGTCATTATTTGCGTTTGTGTGCAACTTTGCATAATCTAGAAACCACATGGCTGTTGTATGTACCATCTGAAATGCTTTGGTTACACATCTGAATGACCAATCAGCACCTGCATGTGAGGGAATTTAAGCAATTTCCCAGAACAACATGCAGAGAATGTATTGAACATGCTTAACAATGTGCTATAGACCATGTTCATGATATCTTCAGTGCCCTGCAGAATCTCCACTTCTCCATAAAAAAAAAAAGCCTGTCATTAGATTTAAACGCTGGAATCGACTTCCGCTTTGATAAAACAGACTCATCCAGGTTATGAGCTACAATGTAACACACATGTAGAAAATGGGAATGAAAGACAGAGAAAAACAATCAGTGAAAAGGTTCAGTATCCACAAGTTCAGTGAAATCAAATTTAAGAACAGCGCATTACCTAAAAGAAAGAAATACAGTAATGTCGTTTTTAGATGAAATGGATGTGACACCTAAAAACAAAGAAGACTGGTCAGACTGTGATTTCACAGTGGAACAAAAAGACACTTTTTATTAGATGTGAAGTGGCCATCACACTTTCCTTTGTTTTACATGGAAGACGAGAACGATCCT